TTTTTTAGTATAATATGTGTGTGTGCAGAAGTGAATCATTTATTGCTTGCAAACCAATGATGGTAAGATGATGTCATGGGGTAGGACTGGATAAGTCTGACTTCTTCCTACTCCATTCAAGCATGTATTAGGTATAAGCTAATTGTTATTGGATTGTGTGTAAAAATGTATGTTGTTATATCAACTGTTTTATATGCTTGAAAGAATAAATAAATCAAATCAAATCAACTATTGTATATTGTGAATTTGGCTGTATTACACCCAGAGCAGGAGGGGACTGAACAGTCTGTCTGTAGCTGTCCAATTGCAGTCATTTGACTCACAACAATGTTTAGAACTTTTAGAATTTCTTTTTCATGATCAGACATGACCACACAACACAATGTGATAATACCAGGTGTTGACTGTAATTCATTTTTTTCTTAGACTGAACAGAGGATGAAGAAGAAGAGATTTATCTGGATTTCTGCTAATTGTATATTTCACTGTGGAGAGAAAGTTACCTGAAAATGTTATGTGGCCTTAAGTCTTTTTCACAGAAAATTATTCTAAAAATGAACACAATGTAGATGTAATCAAAGGCTGAATCACCTCCCATTTAGATACAATGCAAAAGAGCCATAGTTTATAAACTAAATAAATTGGTGTTTTTTGTAGGTGGGTAACCAGTGAGTGGGGATCCTGCTCCGTTACATGTGGTAAAGGACTTCAGCAGAGGGAGGTGGTTTGCGTTTACCACCTACAGAATGGTTCAGTCATTCACACCAAGGACCTATACTGCCATGGAGGAAAACCTCCAGCTCTGCAGGACTGTGAGGGCCGCCTCTGCCGTACTGTGTGGGAGGCTTCAGAGTGGTCCAAGGTATGTTACACACATACTGTGGTGATGTCATGTGAGAAACATCACTACCTCTGGGCCATGTTTCCCATCAATGACTGATCTTAGAAGTGAAGAGTATGTTTGAAATGTGATTATATGAAAACTCTGAAATTATTGCACATTCCTCAAGGTAACAATTGAGAGCAAATGCACAAGCCCATAAGTTAAAATGTAACATATTTTACTAAGCTATTAAATCACTGACAGATTTATAAGCATCTACATTTGATGTCACATTTCTCATCAAACAAAACCTAATGTGGAAACTGTCATTGGCAGGGACAACATTCTTTTCATTTGTGACCAACTATAGACTGGCAAACCTGGGAACAGCAACAGAACAAGAGCTAGCAGGTTTAATGCTTGGCTGGAGGCCTAGTGCTAGCAACAGAGGAGATTCACTGATTGTTAGCACACCCAATGTTAACAGCAGGGAAGACATGCTGGTGGCTAGCTGGGCAAATGCTAACAGCATCAAGAATTGGCACAGGAATTTAAGAGGACTGAAACCCCCACCCCCCAGATAAAATCACTATTGGCCATTGAGGCCAGAACATCAGGATCATGCAGATATTGCTGCGTAATACTATTTTAAATAAAGTCTATGCTGCAGACTTTTTTTTGTTGTCCTTTGCAAATGGAATGGTTACACTAATGTGTTCCCATAGAATTCTAATCTCATCAAGTTCCTCAGTAAGGGGTGCTGTACCTGCTAGGTTAATCTAGGCCAGATTGTACTGTAAAGATTTGATTGTTAGATGACCCACCGCAGGGCATTAATAAATAATGACAGGAGTGAACAGGGTAACACAGTATAGCTATTGTGGTTTGCTAGGGGTAAACAAAATAAGCACAGGAAGGGAACATGGCTCATAAAGTGATTCAGAGTTATGATAGAAGTTCTTTGATGACAGTCTGGCAATGAATAACGTGGCTAACTCAAGTAAATACAACAATGTGGGCAATATGACTGGATTATAATGGTGCAGGTAGAGTAAGTGGATCAAGAATGTACAATATGGATAACATGAAATAGATTGTAGGCTAGAGGCAGGAATGGGAGGTAAATATGAACACATACAAGAGTGGCTACTAGGAATGTAATGATACCAAAAACACAGTATTAGTAGTAGATATTGCCACCATAAAAGGTCCACAATATATTTATCATAATATTAAAATGAAGAAAAAATATGAAAAAATGTCCCTAGTTAAATAATAAATACAATTTTTTGTATTATGTATATAAACACATACAGAAGATGTAACAGCCAGTAGCAGTCATTTTATGGCAGTAAAATCACATATAAAATAAAATATATTACTGCAACAGTTCAGCTCTTGTAAACAAAATGAGTTATACTCACAGTGGAACAGTATTTTAGTAGCCCCTAGGTAAGTAGGTTTAACATTCTCTGGTGGCCATGCTGACTGGTATCCCTTGACCACTGGGGGCATTAGTGAGCAGATTGCTGCTTGGCACACCAGAACAAGGAGAAGAAGATGCAAAAATACACTAGAACAAGCCATATAAAGGTGCGATTTGTGCTTTACTGGAGGTGTTTTTAAAACATCGTGCGCTCCAGTTTGTTTGTTAATCTCCATTCAAGTATAGTGCACAGGCATGTCCCTACTGTTTCTGCAAGATGGATCCACAACCATCTCAGACCTAAACTGGGCTAGTATTGCCTTCATCTGGCAGTATTTGCAAATTGTTTTGTGCTATTCCGTTTCCTTTCCACCCTTGTCATTTCTTGAAAAGGGAACACTGAAAAGCTGCCGCACACAACAACTCTAAAAGTGGGCAATGATGCCAATGATAAAGAAATAAATTCTTCTTATGTTCTTCTCACTGAAAAAGAAAACTTACTAGCCACATTCTTTAAAATAACTCATTTAACCTTCTTTCCTTTACTCTGTTCTGTTCCCACTCTTTTCTCTTTATGTATTGTTTTATGCCATTTACTCTAGTGTTCATCAGAGTGTGGTCATGGCGTTCGCAAACGAACAGTGTTGTGTAGAAACCCTCAGGGTCTATGTGATCCTTCATCCCAGCCCACTCAACAGGAGTCCTGTGAAGACCACTCCAAATGTTATGAATGGAAGACTGGAGACTGGTCCAAGGTATGACCATCTTAAAACCCCATGTTTCATGTTCAGTCTGGTTAATTTCCATGAATACTCATTAATTTTTTCCTTCTTAGCAACTTATTCAACATTCAATCACCAAGGAAAAGGAAAGCTCATTCATTTGAACAAGAAAAAATGTCATGAACTTCTTTGATTTCTTTGCAAAATTTACAGATAAAAGCTATATTAAAGATATAAGAAGTGGCCGGGCCCCCCTGACCTACAGCCGTAAATCGTGATTCATGAAATATTTGCACTCTGGTGCTGTGAAATGGACAATACAGGCAATAGAAGCATCACAGCATGTCACGTGCTAATGCTATCATTACATTTATGCTGCATTCCAATTACCTCAGAGCTTGGAAGTCAGAGTTGGGAATGAATGGGAATGTTTTTTTTAATGTTGTCAGCCTTCGTTTTATGCAGGATACAAATTTCATGACGGCCGTGGCCATCATTGCCCTGGCATCTGGCCATGATGTCCTGTATATCTGTAGGAGTTACAAGGCCACAGTGGCCAGTATGCCCATCAGATTTGTTAGATTTGAGGACTGATCTCAGTTAATGATTGTGCATGCTCACGTAGGTATGTGTATATGTTGATAATGATAATCACTTTTATTGGCTAAGTATGTTACACACACAAGGAATTTGTCTCCGGTACAAAACCAAGGCAGCCATTTGTGGTGCCAACACACACACACACACACACACACACACACACACACACCAATGGCAGACCCGTCCCAAGACACTGTAGGAGTAACTTCAGTGTCTTGCCCAAGGGCACTTCAACATGTGGAGTATGGTGCTTAAAGAGCCCATGGTGCTTTTCTTTGTTTTCTGAGTTATCTACAATCTTATAATGGTGAATTATCATCTTAGACATGACCTAAAACTCAAAAAATGAGGTGTATGTGTGTTCTAGTATTTATATGTAGAACCAACTTGGTTTATACAAGTTTCACAAATAATAGTTTCAGTAATCCCCCACACCTCAAAAATGTACGCAAAAGTAATACTTAAAAAAAAATCAACATGATGTCATATCCAGGCTGCATTCGGGCAGTGTCCATTATTATAGTTGCCTGGAGGGGTGTGATTGGGAGGAACGGCCCCCCCGATCTGAACCCGAGTGGTGTTTTGTTATTGGACTTCTGTGCTAGAC